CAAAGCATTTTTGCGTATGCGTGTTCATAAGTTGAAATTAAATCCGCTCAAATGTGCGTTTGGTGTGAGTGCAGGAAATTTTCTGGGTTTTCTGGTAACCAACATGGAATTGTAGTAGATGGAAACAAAACAAAAGCCATCATCAGTGCCACACCACCATCCAATAAAGAAGAGTTGCAACGTTTCCTGAGCCAGGTAAACTACATTCGAAGATTTATCTCAAATTGTGCTGGTCGGACTCAAGTGTTTTCTTCATTGCCGAAGTTGAAGAAGGAAGACACATTTTTATGGAGGGAAGAACATTGACACGTCTCTACCATCACACTAGAAAGTGGCCAAGTGTAACCACCTACTAATGCGTAGTATAGCGGGTTTAGTTATAAATGTCAACCCGGGTCCTAGGTGTGATGACTACTCCGTGACAGTCTTATTATTTAGCGGTTCAAGTGTAGTGAAGGAATAACTAAACTAGCAAGCAAGAGCAGTGAAAGTTGTGTTCACAGTTGAGAGAGATCACCTAGATATGGATCCTCCTAGACTGCAGTTAAGCCAGGTTGTAATTCACCAAGTTCAAGTTCAATGATAGTTATACCACGGGAGGTTCTTAGACAGTCTTCAGTCTCGACTAAAGGTCTCCAAACCCTCTCAATCTGAGTCCCTAACGGGCGACTAACCTCCACCGGAGTAAACAGATTGAGGCCCTAACAAACCAAACCTCCTCTACTAGAGTAAATCTGGTACAGAATAGTGAATTGACTCATCGACTAAAGTCGTCAATTCACTACCTTCAATCAAGGGTGCTCTATCAACCTAGGCATATATTCTCTTTCTAGGTCAAAGCAGAAATAACATGAATTTGATCAGGATTCATGCCATTCAGGAAATCAAACCTCAATTGAATATAATCAATATCAATGAATTCGTACTTGGGTTCATACAATCCGACCTAACATACAAATCTTGGGTTCTTCATACCCATGTGAGTGAGAGAGTTTACTCCATAGAGAGAGAAGTGAAATCTAGCTCAGATGCAGAAAACATGTTGTGAAGGATGAGATTCTGCTTCTGGTAGTCAATCGACACTTCTCTAAGCTTAAGCCGTGCTCCAATGGTGATGAAGATCGATCTAGGGCGCTTAGAGATTCTGGTTCATCGCTCTCACTTTAGGTATCTACTTTCTCCCTCTAAAACTCGGAACCGTTGTAAAATTGGCCTTCTTTCCCTCAAAAGGGAGCAGATCGATCCCCGGCCATAATACCCGGTCGGGTATTCCAGCTGCTCGGCCGGGTATTTTGAAACGCAGCGCAGTGGGGAAAGGGAAATACCCGATCGAGGTTCAGAATACCCGATCCGGTATTTTAGCTATCCGGTCAGGACCACTTCTGGAATTTTGGCGTCCAAAACGTGTTATCCTTGGCCTCCTCTTGCATTTTACCCGGTCGGGTATTTTAACTCCTGACAGGGTATTTTCTTCTTCCAGCGCCCCTTCACTCCAGCACCCTCTTTGTTTACCCCAAACTCATTTCCACGCTCCATGTCCATGCCAAGTCCTGAAATATGACATTAACGCACAGCCTAGCGTGAAATCGGCTTAAAACAAGAGAATCGTCTCTCAAACGGCTCAAGAATGGAAGCCTAAACATGTGCAATTAATCGTCTATCAAACATCAACAAGCGTTTGATGATATCAAGAGGTACTTGGCGACTCCGCCGGTGATGAACTCTCCCAAAGCAGGGGTGCCGCTGAAGTTGCACTTGTCGACCACGGACACTTCTGTTGCGTGTTTATTGGCTCAAGACAACGAAGTAGGCAACGAAGAGGCCATTTATTATCTAAGTAAGTTTCTGAACGAGGGCGAGAGAAAATAATCCCCCGTAGAGTTGTGTTTAGTGTTCTACTTTTCTTGTAAAAAGCTACGCTACTACCTGGTCCCTGTCCAGGTACAACTCATTTGCCAAAAATACTTGATTAAATACATGCTATCTTGGCCAATTATTCATGGCCGAATTGGCAAATGGACATTGGCTCTGTCTGAATTTAATTTAGAGTATGTACCTCAACGAGCCGTAAAAGGGCAAGCATTGTCAGACTTCTTTGCATATCATCCCTGCATTGAAGTGCCAAGCGATCCCGTAGAAGTTTGTGAGGTTGGTATAACGCCATGGATCCTGTATTTCGACAGATCCAAAAATTATGGCGGTGCTGGGGCTGGCGTGATGTTTAAAGCACCATCAGGTCGTGTCGTGCATTTTGCATTCTCATTGGATTTTTCTTGCACCAACAACCAAGCTGAATATGAAGCTTTGGTAGTCGGGTTGGAAATTCTCATTGAGCTTAGAGTCCACAACGTCGATGTCAAGGGAGATTCACAGTTGGTGGTCCATCAGGTCCGCAGGGATTTTTTCGTTGTACCAATAGCGTTCTAGAAACATATCTAGACCATGTGTTGTCGTTGACTGCCCACTTCGACAATATGGCGATCAACTTTGTTCCTCGAATGGACAATAGCGAAGCCAACTATCTTGCACAAATGGCTTCAGGATTTAAGGAGTTTTGCGAAGAGCAATGCAGTAGAAAGGATAATAGTGCAAACTCTCAAACCCTATGGGAGCGTTTGAGAGTTGAGCAGGTTTGTGTAATAGAGAAAGACGTCGATGATTGGCGGGCACAACTGTTATCTTACTTGCAAGATCCAAGCAAGGCTGCTGACCATGTTGTCAAGTTTAGAGCAAGGAGGTACGTAGTTTTGGATGGGACCTTGTACTAACGCAGGCCTGATGGGTTGCTGTTGAAATTCTTGGGGGGCAAGATAGCATTGCAAGCCATGGCAGAGGTGCATGAAAGAATATTTGGAGTTCACCAAGCTGGTCCTTCCATGCGATGGATTCTACATCGCTACGGATTGTACTGGCCCACCATTGGGCCAGATTGTGCTGCATATGCCAAGGGCTGCGAAGCTTGTCAACGTCACAGTCCTGTTCAAAGAGCGCCGACGGTTGATCTGAAATCCATAATTAAATCGAGGTCGTTTTATGGTTGGGCCACGGATTTGATTGGTATGATTTATCCCCCATCGTCAAAGAAACACATTTTCATAATTTTGGCCACTCACTACTTCACTAAGTGGGTGGAGGCCAAACTGTTGAAGGTGGCGAACCAAGAGGAAGTGATTTCTTTCATACAAGAACACATTATCCACCGATTTGGTTTGTCAGCAACAATAACGGCGACAAAGGAACTGTGTTCACTAGGGGGCAAGTTATGGAGTTCGCGGCGGAGCGGGGGATAAAGATTATCCATTCCATGCCATATTACGCACAAGCTAACAGGCAGGCGGGAGCATCCAATAAGGTCGAGAAAAATATTTTGACGAAGATGATTGAGGATAATTTGCGACGTTGGCATGAAATTTTATCAGAAGCGTTGTGGGCATACAAAATGTCCCCGCGAATTAGTACGAGAGTGAGCCCTTTCTCGTTAACATATGGTCATGAAGCATTCCTCCCCGTGGAGGTGACCGTCAACTCACTCCGGTACATGAAGCAGCACGAGTTAACACCTTTGGAGTATCATGAATCGATGATGCTCGAGCTCTGCGATCTTGATGAACTAAAACTCCGCGCCCTCGATAATGTTCAAGTACAGAAAGCAAGAGTGGCAAGAGCTTACAACAAGAAGGTTCGACAGAAATCGTTCGAAGAGGGCGAACTGGTTTGGAAAGCTCACTTGCCGATTGGGGAAAAAGATCCCAAGTTTGGAAAATAGTCGCCAAATTGGTGTGGACCATTCGTGGTGCATTCTGTGCGTCCTAATGAAGCATACTTGCTGAAAGACTTAGATGGAGTGATGCATGAGCGTTTAATAAATGGCAAGTATTTAAAGCCATATGTGTCGTCCCTATGGGACACAGCTGGTCATTATTCTGAGCAATGACGAACAACCATGTGCTAAAAGGAAGTGTCCTAGTCGGCCACCAAGCTTGCACAACGTGGTTGAATAGTACGCGATTGCCGAAGTATGCAACAAATAAACCAATTTGCAAACTCCATTACTAATAAAGAAAATTCTTAATGCCTTTAAGGCTAGCGGCAGGGTTCACCCAAGTCCAGCCGGTGCGGTACCGCTGTTCGATACCAAAATGTTCCATTCTTATCAAACGAAACCGTCTTTCACCACGAGAGTAGGCACATGTTAGTGTTGTTTGGCATATACGATTTGAAACTTGGCATAAAAAAGGAAAAAAAGGAAAAAATCAACTGGTGATGCTGCCGAGTGGTCGCATCAACCGTTATTCCTATCAGGTTGGCACCGTTCGGAATGGTGGCCTCTTGCAGCAGAGGTAGGATCGTTGTCTGATCGGTTTCAGTCCTGCCTACAGTCCTCCTAGCCGTTTTGATCGTACCTTCGGTGTCGGTGGGAATGTGTACATCATCATCAAAATCGAGAACTTCAGTACCGCTGTATTCATCCTCGGTATCATAATCTTCAGTTTCCCGCTGTGAAAGAAAGCAAGGGTGTGAGTAGGAGGCTAGCCAAAAGATGGCAGGGTAGTATAAGAAAATGTGTGCAAAGCTAACCTCGATGCCGGGAGCTGTGCAAAGAGATGGAGGGTGATGAGTAAATGGATGACGACTCTCAATAACTGCAATAATTGAAGTTTTAAGAGGGCGGCGACCACATACATAAGTAATGCAGGGAGGTAAAATGTGAATGCCATAGCAAGCATAAAGAGGAGTTTGAAGACGAAGGTTTTACCCGCTTGCCATTCCAAGAGAGTGTTGAATGCTGGCGCGGTTGAGCCTCCATCATTGTCAGGGGTAAGCCAAGCGAGGATCTCGGATAATGGCTTGCCGAAAATGTGTGATGCTAGTGAATTCCATGCATCCTTGAATTGGGGCGAGACTTTATTCACCACGTTTTTATGAGGAGGAAAGTATTGTGCTGATTCTTGGTGACCTTCTACCTCAATAATTTGTCCAGCGGTAAGTTCCGGGGGGAGTTAGTAGAATTTTGGGAAATTCAGTGATGAGGGAGGTAACATAGGCCATGTTTGAACAAGGCTTAATTGTCGAGCTGCAAGTTGAGGGTTGTAAGCCTCAATGCTGAGTACCTCTGAGCCTTTAGGAGCAAAGAGGATGTCCCGAGCTGTTAAGTAACGTTTTCGCTCCTGGATGAACTCACTGTAATCGGCGGTAGCGGGATCACCAAGCGGTGGTGGCTCGTCAAAAGTGAGTTTGAACGAAGCAGGGTCGAATATCAGTTCCACAAAAGGAGTGAGGTTGGGGATCTCTCGGACCTCATAATAGAATGTAAAATAATTAGTAAAATCTTCTTTACGCGAGGACGCTTTAGCTAAATAATGGCCATATGTGAGCATGGTGGTATCTTCAACTGCCGTTTGAAGAGCTGGTAGAGGACCACGAGTCGCCGGGAAATAAGCATGCAACCAAAGTTGTAGTAGCCATAAGGGTCCAACACTGAGGATGCCACTTTCGTCTATAGCCTCCTTGATACGATTCAAGATTGTATACAAACTGCAATAGAGGTGGCAGAGCACAATTTTAGAAAGATTGGTACATTCGCCAGTGACGATTGCAGAGGTTATATGCGCATCTTTGTTGGCTTGTTGGGTGCAAAGTACGAATCGACCAAACAAGTAATAAAGAAAGGCCACTCGCTTGCTGTCGGAAACTGGTTCACTCGGAATGGTCGGCGCATTACTGTTGTAGAGTGATTTGTAAGATCGGTCAAAAGCTATCGGTATAGCTGGACCCAAGGCTCTCCTTGATTTCACACGCGACTTTGATATTCCAGTCAGGGCCGCTATGTCAAGCAGAGTGATTGTCATCGACCCCAATGGGAGTACGAAACAATTCGATTCCGCTGACCAGAAGCAGATGGCGGCTTTGAACAGCTCGGAATCAGGTTTTGGTGGCTCTAAACATAGAGAAAGAAACCGGTCGAGGCCTAATTCCTGCCATTGAGATACGGTTGCTGCATCATTGGCCAACCGACCATGCCAATGTTTAAAGTCTGGATCCGAGATGGCCCACGCAGGGAGTGCTCTCTTTAGGGTTATCCGTTTAAAGAATGGGCTGATAACGGGGAGACGAAATAAAACTGTAAATTGGAAAAACATCCAAGAGCTCCATAATGGTAGTGGGCCGGTCACGAATGAGTGGACCAAGCCAGGCCTCCTCATCATCATCTTTCGATATTATCTCAAGAGTGAAGTCAGCATTGGCCATGTTTCCCAGAAAGTCCCGTCGTTCCCCCGGAGATAACGGGAGGAGAAACGCAATGAGGTTGCATTCACAAAGAGGTTAGTTGGCTTAGTGATAGTCATACCTGTAGCGGTGGCTACTCACCAAACCAAGAACATGTGTATAAACTGCTAGAGATAACAACGTTTAGGGGAGTAACAAGGCTTCAATACCAATGTGAAGAACGCAGAACTAACTCGGCGATCGAGGGAAACCCTTGCAGAGACATGATAGTGATTTCAGCGGCGTCGGAATCAAGGTACAGTCCTCTGCTCGGTGAATCACTGTTGAGAGAGTTTTTGGTGCATGTTTAGGGTTTTGGCTTAACTTGTTTATTTATAATTGGAGAGCGCCGCAGCGTAGGGAGGAGGAGATAATGTCCTCTTTAGTTTGGGTTTACGTTGTTGGTAGGGAAAAGAAAAAGAAGTATATCCGCGTAGCTGGGCATTGCTGAAAGAGGGCTGTCGCAACAAGCCTGTTTCAAAGAAAAGAATAAGTAAATATAATAATATAAAATTATATAATAAAAAAAACTCAAAACGCGATGCATTTTGGTCTAAACAGGATTGCCAGGCAATTATGGCGAGAGTGGCAAAAGAGAGTTACTACGGTTGTTTTGGGTAGGAATGTTGGCATAGGCCGTCCTGGTGTGGCCGGATTGTGCGAATTATGGAACAAATAGTAATGATAGAAACATCGTTGTTTTGCTGGTAGCAACGCTGTTGAGGCTGAGCGACAATGTTAGCTGAAACACAGTTGCGACCGCTGGGGATAAGGAAATTTAGGCTGACAAATAGCAAAGTATGTGGCCGGAAAAAAAAATGATGAAGTTTAGCTCGAGAATTCCTGCGGAGTTGTTTACGGGATTGTTTCAAGTCGCAAGAAGGAACATGTTGCTTGGGAAAACGACTGGGAAAGCAATGTTGATTAGTTCTTGTTGTAAAAGCAACAGAACTCCGGAAAAAAAAAAAAAAACAAGGCCGCCGTAGTGAAATAAAATATATAGTTAAAAATGTTGGAGTTCGGTGGATGCAATGGTACGGCTACAAAATTGATTTTGATTCTGGAGAAGGAAAGAGATGGGTAGCATTACAGCCTCGTGAAAAGCCATGCAAGGTTGTGGCTGTGCATGTTTGATGAGGGTGATCGTAAAGTTGCCGCGAAGGATCCAACGGTCCCGTATGATTGTTGCAGTCGAATATCGTGCAGTTGATTTTAAACTACCTCGCAACTTTGTTTGAAGCACAAACGAAGGTGGATAAGCGGCACAACAGTGCAGCCGCGTCTAGAGTAGTAAAAGAGCTAGCTAAATAAAAAAAAAAAAATTCTAAAACGCCACTGTTTGGACGAAAAGCAGCGCTGCGACGTTGTGTTAGGGATTTAGTTCAGCCAGAACAAAAGTTGGTTACTAAAATATCAATGCTGGTAGAGCAAATTTTTTGGCATCGATGATGAACTTAAATAGAGAAAATTCCGATTGTTCAAAAGTGTAAGTCGTCCAAGATCAAAAGAAACATTCGCGGCCGCACGAGCATGCCAAAGACAAAATAAATTCAGTTCGAAAGATATAAAGGCTAAAAGTAAAAGTAATGAGCTACCAGCCGTTGAAATGCTTGGCAATCTAAGCCAGTTCCGCCCGCAAGGTGTCAAGACTGGTCCTTGCTGCTTGCCGAAGTTGAACGGCCTGCGCCTTCTTAATCTCAAGCTTGTCATCAACCAGGGATGTTTCCTGCGTCGCGAGTATTTGAGTTTCAACAGTGAGAGCAAAGATGGAGGCTTGAATTGCAGTGCGGTGGGAGACATCTCCATCCAGTTCTCTTTTCTTGGCATGCACATCTTTCTCAAGTCTATTCAATTCGGCCTTCATCGCAGCAATTTTGGATTCATCTGATAGAATTTTTTGTTCACGAGTTGCGCACTGCTGAGATCGAGCTTCGTATTGAGAGGACAGATCCTTAAAGCGCCATGTTAGCAACAATATGCGCCTTAATGGATTGGAGGGCCGTTCCTCTTTTGGCACTGTTTTTTTCCAGCTCGAGGGCGTCGTGAGCGCACTTCATGTATTTTTGTGCGAGTTGCTGAGCTTGCTTGGCAGTGGTTGTTTCTTCTAAACCAAGTCCAGGCAAGATTTAGGAAGGACCCAATCCTCTCAATACGGTAAAAGCCGATTCAAGCTCGTTTTGTTGTGGAGGGTCAACCGCTTCTTCTAAGGATAGGGAGAGAAATAGAATAATCTTGCCGATGGTGTCTTTTATGGCTTGGGTTCGTGGATCAAGGAGGACCTCCGTAGATAGTGGAGTTCGAGTTTTAGCCAAAGAAGCGAAGAACTGCCCTGCTGTCTCAAGATCCGGTAAGGCCTGCAAGACAAGAGAAAGAGTGATCGAAAGACAAAAGGTTAGGAAAGATTCACTATCAAGGAAAAACGAGTAGCTAGAGTTACCGTCACTGCTGTGTTCGGTGAGGCAACATCAGTAGTAGATGGAGCGGATCAGGTAAGGTCGGAGAAAGGAGATGACCGAGCTGCAAGGGATGTGAAAGATGGAAAGGCTGTGCTAGCTGAAGGGGTGTGGGTGGAAGTCAATACGAAGCTGTCAAGTTTGAGGTGTGGTATGGTTTGAGCAATAATGGTGGTGTTTCCTGTGCCTGAATAAGTAAGCGCAAGGCTAACAGGGGTAGCCAACGGGTTAGCTTGAACGGATGGAGCAGTGGTGCCCTCGTGCTCGGTCGTTAGTAGTGGGTCGGAGCCCTTATTCAACAGTGAATCAGACACTGAATGGCTTGCTGGCCTGTCCCGCAGGGCTGTTGCTGTCACGATCAAGAGTCGAGTCTGTCAGTGTTTCCCCATCATCGTCGGAATCATCCTCAGATTCGATGCTCATACTATCCGAGTTGGAATCGTTTTCGTCATCGGACTCCTCGTTCCCTTGATCCTACAAAGAAAGAGAATTGCTTAAAATGGCGCCCAGGTTTGATTCCGCTAGTTACATAATGTCTACTTGTATTCCGTTGGAGTTTGGCATGTAATGATGGTGGCCAGGTTATCAACCTTGGCCAAGTAAAGAAAGAAAAGAAAAAGCATGACAAGTATGGCTACGAAGTGACGACAAAATGAAGCAAATGCTAATGGTTTCTCAAAAGAAGCCGTGATAGAGGAGTTAAAGAGAGGCATTTACCTCAAGATGGGTGATTGAACGACTCTGTTTAGTGGGGGCGAGTTTCACTAGGAGGTTTCCCAGAAGCTGCGCGTGGAAAAGAGCCGTGTAAATTGGCTGAAATAGAGTACCACAAAATAAAAATAACCAAAATAGAAGTAGGTACACACATGCTCGACGTTTGGCAGAATCTAGATGGGGAGATACATTGAGCTCCTCGTCATCATTATCGTCAGTTCCATCAAGCTCGCACTGGGGTAATGCGGCTAATGAAATTGGTCGTAGGTTCGTTAAAGTAGCGAACTTATTTAGTATTCCAGGCCAACCTGTACAGTGATGTTACTATGCCCTCGGTTGCATTGAAGTGCTTAAATGCGTTAGGAAGCAAATAATCCCGACAAGCTTCCACGTTTGCGATGCCCTTCGCAGCGAGTGCTGCAATCCAAGTGTACAGCCGTGGGTAGTTATTTGAGAAGGCAAGCGGGAGGGGCCATTGTTGTACTAGTCCGAACTGGCGGGAGGTAAAGTGTGGGTTGTAGACCTTGATGCTGAGATCGGCTGGAGCTTTAGGAGCAAGAGCATGTCTCTAGCCACTATCTAGCGAGCCCATTCTTCGACATACCAATTGTAATTGTCGAAGGAAGCATCTTCTTCTGTTGGTTGTTGGCTGAAAGCAAGTTTGAATGGTGGAGGTCCAAAGCGCCGAGTTTCAAATGGGGTAAAATTCTCGACTCCTCTAGCCATGTAGAAAATCGGGAAGTATATGGAAAAGTCCTTCTTTAGTGGGGCGGCTTTGGCATAGTAATGGCCGTAGGACAGGATCCCAGCATCGGAGGTCATGTCGTCAGGTGTCGGCAACGAGCTTCGTACTGCGGGGAAGTAAGCATATAACCATAGTGTCACTAGCTAAAGGGGGACAGCGCCGATGACTTCCTTCTTCGCAGTGGCCTTTTTTATTTGTTTGACGGTCAAGTACATTCCCCGGTAAAGATGACATAGTACGATTTCAACAAGGTTGTCGCATCGTCCGGCAGAAATCTCAAAGGTAGTCTCAATATCTTGCACGAGTTTGCTGCCGCCACGGCAAAGAATGAATTTATTTAGCCAGTAATGAATGAAGTATGCTCGCTCTTTGTCCGTGACCGGTGCCGCGGGGTCGGCCGGGGAATTAGTGTTGTAAATAGAGCGTTAGGAGTGATCAAAATGACTGGGGTTGTTGGGCGTGAAAGGAGTTCTAGCGACGGTAGGTGGTCGACATCTGGAGAGGCTGTTAGTGCGACGAGATCAAGCATGGTGATAGTCATGGTCCCCAGTGGAAATACAAAGTTGTTAGATTTGGTAGACCATAAGCATATGGTAGCCTTGAATAAATCTGCGTCTGGTTCAGGGGGATTGATGCAGAGAGACAAGAAGCAATCTATGCCTACATCCCTCCATTGAGCGGCAGTGGTTTCATCAGCAAGCAGGCGGGAATACCACCTCACGAAGTCCTTGTCAAAGAGAACCCATGAAGATAGAGGTTGTTTCGGTTTCAGTTGAGTGAAGTATGGGTTGTCGGTAGGTGAGCAATGAAGGAGTAGCCTAGCGCGAGCAGTGGGGTAAATATTCAGCTTGGTCATGGTTGCATCGCCGGGGTTGGTTATAGCAGGACCGTGCAACCCCTCGCTTTTTTCTGTTAATGAAAAGGTATCAAGTTCTATTGCGGGAGAGCTATCCAGATTCCTCCATCTATCTTGTGGATCGTCAATATTGCATATATAAGCCGCGAGGTCAGCAGGAGGTGGCCTGTCGAGAGAAGAGGCAAAGAAATTAAAACAAGTATGCTCTGAGTCAAATATCACAATTGGCTGCAAAGGAGCGTGGGATAATAAGCAAGAATTGGTTTAGGGGTATGTGCGAGCGGTTAATGCTACAGGCCAAACAAGTAATGATTAAGAGTTGAGGGGTGACATTTTGATTTAAAGAGAGACGAGGCAAGTTGGATACATGGTTGTTCACGCATGGATCGTGCATGGAATAGTCAAGGAAAGCATAAGAGATAGATGTGTGCCACACGAGGGAACCATGGAGGGGGCAAAGCACGAACATTGGCTCGCTTTGAACGAAAAGGTACGAGTAATCTACGTTGTTCATATGCTAAGTTACATGACATATACACATCACATATACACATCATATGCTAAGTCAAGAATGAACAAAAGATAATGGCGTGAAAATTCATTACCTTATTTGAGGAGGTGTTCGACCGCCGCGAACCATGTTGGAGTCTTGGTGGATTGTTGATGAAGCTTATGTTGTGCATTCGAAGAAGAAATTTAATACGACCCTAGGGGGTGTATTTTTATCAAATTAACGCAGCAATCAATCAATCCGTAGATTGATTGAACTCGAATTAAGAACAATGCGTTCTTAATACGAAATTGGGATAAAACGGAACCAACGGACATTTCCACACCTGGGGAAAGCTCGTATGGTATAAAAGGGTAGCTGCTCGACCACGGTTGAAGAGGATATTCAATCGATACAAAGCTCACAAGCTTGGAATCCACCAAACTCAAACAAGTCGTAACTTGCACAAAACCAAAGGTTCAATTTCAATTCATCAAAGTCTAAATTTTACAACGAAATAGAACGATATTTAAAGGCAAATAAAACCTAATACAATCCTAATAGAACTAAAAAACAATTAAAGTAAAAGTCTACACTAAAAGGACACAAAATTCGGGTTTAAACTTCCTTTCTTGAAGCACAAGTAAGCTGCCAGCAAAACAGTCAAAAAGCAGCTTTCGTACTAACTTTAAGCCCTTCGTTCGAGGCCTTCCAGAACTCTGTTCTTTCATCCGATCCCTTCCCTTGGTAGATAAACATATCTAGTTTCATGTTGTGGAAGCCTTTGGACTTGATTCAGATTCATACTCCTCGAATTAAGCTCCAAAGTAGGCTTCACAAAACAGTTTCTGGCAGTTTTCCAGTTTTGAGGTAGCAACTTTGAGGCCTTGGAAAACAACCTTAATGACATCATCTGGCTCCACAAAGCATTCCATTGGAAATATGGAAACTTTATCTGCAAAACAAACCCTTAAAATTGAATTTCCACCAAGCCAATTAAGAGAACCATGCCTCCAAAGTAGGTACCCTGAACACGGATTTTGACTTAGCCAAATTCTGCCCTTCTTCTTCCCAACTTCGATAGCTTCTTCGTCAAGTAATTTAAACGTGTAGAGCTGGCCAGTTGGGATCATATCAAAATTGGCGGCGGGCCGGCAAGTCTGGTCGTGATTCAACAATGAGGGATGTGACCTATAGAGTTACAGGGGATGATTATTTAAGAAGAGTGCCCAAACCTATATGGAATAGGAATGCTTTATGTATGTTTCATCAAGGGTTTGTTCCTTGCTAAAGAAGGAAAAAGGATTGAGCATGTAGGGCGATGGTGAGGAGCAAAGCATTGTAACACAGCTATTTAAACAAAACAGCGTTGCATTGTTTACGTGTTAATATATATAGTAATAATAAAAAAAGGGAGAGAGAGGGTGGCCAAAACAGCACTGACGAGGGAAACAAAAAATCAGGACTATTTAAACGAAGAAACAGTGCTGCGAGGCCGCACAATCGGCCGCAATAAAGAATAAATAATAATAATAAATAAAAACCACAGTTTGCTTTTTGTGTGGTGGGGAATGCGGATCCCATGACTAAGGGGGGTCCTTAGTCACTTGACTAAGCTCCTCCTAGCCATTAGATCTGGACACTTCAATCTAATGGTTAAAAAGTGGGAAGGGCTATTTAATTAATGACAGGGGTAGTTTGGGTATTATGGAAAATTACAAAGTATACAAACTGGATTTACAATCAGTACAAACCATACAAACATACAAACAGTACAAACTAGAGCGACAAAACATACAAACATTACAAACGTATGAACTGTACAAACAATACAAACTAGACCGACAAACAATACAAACCATACAAAAAGAAAAAACACCCGGGTTGACTTTCGAGGCTCCATCCCTATATAGAGGGGCTCCTTCCCAAAGTCAACCCGGGTGTTTTTAGGCATACAAACAGTACGAACATGGTGGACAAAAATGACAAACTATAGCGACAATCCATACGAACTGAAAAAACACCCGGGTTGACTTTGGAGGCTCCATCCCTATATAGAGGGGCTCCTTCCCAAAGTCAACCCGGGTGTTTTTTAGACATACAAACAGTACGAACATGGTGGACAAAAATGACAAACTATACCGAAAATCCATACGAACTGAAAAAACACCCAGTTTGACTTTGGGGGCTCCTTCCCAAAGTCAACCCGGGTGTTTTTTAGACATAAAAAACATTACAAACATGGTTGACAAAAATGATAAACACGATACACAAAAATAACAAAGTTTACAAACATTACAAATAAAACCGACAAACATTACAAAATAACAAAGCATACAAACATTACAAAAAAACCCGACAAACATTACAAAAATAACAAAGCGTACAAACATTACAAAATAAACCGACAAACAATACAAAGCATTACTAACAGTACAAAATCTCTCTCTCTCTCTCTCTCTCTCTCTCTCTCTCTCTCTCTCTCTCTCTCTCTCTCGTGGGAACTTGGGGAATAAATTCCCATAACAAAAAGTGACCGCCCAGGTGACGGAATTCCCTGGTCGGCGATGGCGGATCCCGGCGGGGGGAAAAAAAGAGACGGACGGCAGGGCAGGGAGAGAAGAGCCGGAAAAAAATATTTAATAATTAAAAATAAAAATAATCATGAACTTACAGTTTTGCCCTTCATTAAAGTAGATTAATTGTAGCCATTAGATTTTAATGAGATGGAAGGGCTGAGATTTATTTAGTCATGTGACTAAGGCCCCCCTCTTAGTCACCTGATCCTAGCCCTGTGGTGGGTGGTGTAAGCAACGCTGCAAGCTTCTCTGTAGGGTTGCAATAAGAGCCATTGCGGCTAATGCATGGCTGCACGTCGGATTTAACAAATCAAAAATTGGATGTGATTTGTTTACGGCAGAGTGGCAATTTCCTTGTCCAAAAGGGAATATATGACCAAAGCACTAATGGTGCATAATTACAGGACCCCTTACATGTAAGACCTATTGCTCATGCAATTTGGGATTAACGTGTAATAACCTGCCCTTGGGAGGGGAAGAACAGAAAAAAACCCGCAACCCCTTGGGGTTATCCTGCACTTGGAAGAAGAAGTAGAAAAAGAATCCGGCATAAAATTTCCCGATAATTTTGGTGGGTTTGCGGTTGAATAAAAACTATTTTAGGTGATTTAAATTGTGTCAACAACTTAGTTCATAATTTCTTATAAACTAAGTTACGGGTACTATTTATACCTAAAATTAATTTGAATTAAATTAAATGTCACATTGATGAGTTATAGCATTTCATTCGATGTTGCGTGATATAAAATGGTGTTGTTTAAAGACAAGCGGCATCGTGGATGGTAAAACGGTGTCGCGAGGTAGCCCAACGATACCGCTTAAGGCATAAAAAAAGCCGTGACATGGGTAAAACGCAGCGTAGAGGCTCGACCATACCGCGGTGTTGAGAATTCGGTGAAAACAATGTCGCTAGCCAAGGCTACGAATTTATTCGGGTTCACGGTGCTGCTGTTGGAGTTGGAAAAGGGAGCATTTTTATTTTTTCCTCGTCGGAGGAGGGATCAAATCGTGTCGCGAACTTCAAAGCTCAACGGTATCGCGAGACTGGGAAACAGTGTCGTTTGGCTAAAAACGGCACCGCGAGTAAACCCAACAACACCGCGGATTAGAAAACGATACCACGAGAGGCCTTGATAAGCGGTGTCGTTTAATTAAAAAACATACCACAACGGGTTGGATTTTGGCGAGGCCCGACAAGCCCAACGACACCGAAAGATGAGAAAAATGGTACCGTTTTGTAGAGAACAATGTCGCGGAATGAAAAATGACATTGTTTGATGGGACCGGGACGAAGTAGTTCAAGGTTGGCATCGATTAATGAAAAGCAATGTCGCGGAAAGATTAAACGGTTCCGAGGGATGAGAATTTGACCGCATGACAATAATGAGCCGGTTTAATTCATTAATCTTTTTTAATAATTATTTTAGACGATGTTGTTTGGCTAAAAATGGGGCCGCGAGAGAAAACGATACCGCGGTAGTGGGTACGAGTTCGGCCAAAGGTGGCCCGCCAAGCCCAACGGCCGCGCAAGACTAGAAAATGACGTTGTTTGATGGGCTAACGATGTCGTTGGTCAAACCAGGCCGAGGGAATTGAGTTGTGATTATAAAACGACTTTGAGTAGTGAAAAGCGATGTTGCGGTATTGGTGAGCGACGTTGTGTGATTAAAAACAATGTCACGAGGTTCAAGATTTTGTTATGGATGATGAGAACGACGTTATGAACGAAGGAGGTTTATTCTCTCAGTTTATGGAGGTGAAACGACATCGTTGCATAGACAAGGTTGTAGGATTTGGCTCAAGTCATTTTGCCAAGTTTCTGGGTGGCGGAATGGTTTTGGGGGCACGTGATTATCACGCAACAAGGAGGAAGTTACCCGCACGGTTGACATGAATGAAGACGTGGGAAACAAAGGCGCGAAGGCGGTTACCACGACTACGGGCAGAAGATTGCAGTATAAACATTAGGAAGAGAGAGAAGCTCGAGACGGCAAAATCAAATCTCAAACTACACCGTTGCTGAATTATCATTTTTTCTCTTTAGTTTCGTAGAACCGCTCTGTCAAAGACCTCCTTTGCAAAGTCGTAGTAGTCATCGTAGTCGTAGTCGCGGAGCTCTCTAGAGGAACCTCCATAGGAGCAGAGGTAACGTAACTTAGAACACTCGTGGTTCGGTTTTCTGGTTATTCGTCGAACACCCTCGTTCGAACGTAGTTTGGAGAGGTGGTGAACCGAATAACGGTTGTTCTTGGTTAGAAGTCAAAGGTGTATCGATCAAATCAACATCGCCCGACACTCGGAGGTGGATATTTGACGGTCGTCCTGGTTTCTGTTTAATCGATCAAATCAACAGCACCGACATTCGGTGGTGGATATTTGACGGTTTTTTGATTATGTGTTTTGCGTTTCTACAACAATCATTCATCCAGAGGGAGAGGGGTCCTTTTTTCCTGCACGAATATGACCTCAATGGTAAAACAGGAGAATAGTTGTTTCCCTGGATACACACTAGTGGAAAAAATCTCTGATTACACTAGTTATTTAAAAAAATTACCAAAATACATTAGTTATAAAAATAATTTTCAAAGTAAACTAGTTTCTTAATCACCGCAATGGTCTAAGACAGTGAATAAATCACCGCAAGAGACCATGACAGTGAATATATCATTGTTTTGATTAAAATCAGTGAAACAAACACGGTAGTGAAAAAAACGGTGAACCAATCACCGCGTTGGACTAGCACAGTGAACCTATTCACCGTAATGGACAAGTGTGGTGATATTTGACTGCCATCCACGTCATCAATCAGCGCCCCTCCGCCCCTTCACCGCACCCGTAGGATGTAGTGAGGTGTGGATTCCGGTTTTCCTCCTAGATCCGAGGCCTTACACTGTCGAACGTCAGCGATCCGCGTCAATCACCGCAATAAAGGAGACGGTGAATTGACTTCAATCTACGGATGCGGGCCTTCACTGCAATCGACGGCAGCGGTGATTTCCCTATCACTCTCTCTCCAGCAGGTTCTCCACCTACAAATACCGCTCCTCCCCCTCCATTCCAAACTACACCACCACACACTTCTTTTTTCTCCCTCCACTTTAGTTTCGTTCTAAGTATGCTATGTCTTTGCAGCAAAGTCCGGTCTTCCGCATCAGAAAGAATTACTAGAGTTTTTTTTACAATCCTCCGCTTTAAAATTCCGTCGATACACTCTCCAGCTTTTGCCAAAAAATGGACGAAGAGGCTCTAAGGGTATATACTTTGTTTTCCTTTTGGGAATTTTTTTTAAATGGGTACGAAATAATCTGATTCCATTCTATTTTATTATATATATATATAGCTGCCGAGATATACGACCCTCGATTGTATATCGATCCTGCCCCAAGGGATAGGAGTTATTTAACCGAGCAAGAAACACATCGCTCCCGTACAATTTGCCACAACAATCCGGTAAACACTGCGTACAATATAAATTTGTAAATTATTTCAGTATTCTAAAAGTTTTTATTTTGCTTTCCTTTGACTAACAACTTCGTGTTTTTCGTTTCATGTAGGAATCACTCATTCCCATCGGTCATTGAGGGACAACATGATTGCCCACTTGGCATGATCGACTATCGCTGTATCTAGAGAGGACAGGTTTGGACATGGTGAGGCACTTCATGTGGATTGATATCGACACCGATCTGTTGACGACAATGGCAGAGCGATGACGCCCCGAAACACATACCTTCCAATTTCCCGAGTGAGAAATGACGATCACCATCAGAGACGTTGTCATCCTCACCAGGATGTCGCTCACAAGAGAGGCCATCATCGGCAACTCGAGAAAACGCGACGATGGTTGGGGGCCCGCTAATTCTCGGGCGTTTGGGGTTCGACATGCTGACTCAAACTGAAGTCCAAAGACACGGGCATTCACCGCTGAATGCGAGACAAAAATCGATTCTGTGGCTCGTTATTCACATCCAAATAGCGGCGAATTTAGGCCAAGACACCCCCAAAGATCAAGTGGGGCGGTATGCACGCTTCTGTTGGGATTTTTAGTGGTGTGAATGGAAATAAAAAAGGGGTAAGTTTCAAGAGAGTCTCTTGAAGTACCATGTTGGTAAGATGTGGGAAGGCACGGCCTCGAATTCGATCGATTTGATGTAATATGTGGTTAATCGGTTAAATTGGTTTGTGTACCAAACGGACCAAACCAAACCAAGTTGAACCAAATCGAACCGAACTGAAGTGGCGGTTGGAATAACCAAACCGGTCCAACTACCATGGGTCGAACCGATGCAATGGTTCATTATTTCAAACGTGAACCAATGTGTTGGTTGGGGTGTAACCACCCATATGAAGAGTCGCCTCCCTTCGTACGCACCCCTTCATTTTCTATAAATAGCACCTAACCCCCTCTGGTTTTTATATAGATTTTTCCGATACGGAAGTTCTGCCAAAATCCAAAAAAATAGTTTTTCTGCATTCTTTTCAAAGAGAAAATAGAGTCAAGTGTGGTTCTCGCCGATTCGTTGCGTTCGATGGGTTCCGGGGTTTGAGGTACCGCTACGCCGGAAAAGGTACGTCCTTTCTATCCTGGGAGGAATCATTCCATAAACCTTGGGTACTTGAGGGGAATAAGATTCTTTAAGGAGAGATAGTGAATTCTATCGGCTAGGACGCTTGCATGTGTCTTTGCATGTTTTCTTTATCTTATGTGTTTGCTTGTGTTGCAAGAAAATAGTATACGTGAACTTTTCCCCAACAATCTTAAAGAATCTTATGGTTTCACGTATACAATTTGTCTTGGTCCGCATGAAACTGTCTTTCGTCGTTCATCTTTGTGTGTTTGCCTTAGGAGAATGACGATTCATGCATTCAGTAGGGTTTAACTGTTTGTATATATCTGGTCATCAACAGAACCATGCATGATTCATTGTGTTAATTGATCTCCTTGCATGTATCTGAAATTTTTTAAATATAATTTATGATGAAGTTTCGTTGGAACACTCGATTCCTTCTGCGGAGCAAACATGTTTGATATATATATTTGGTAGTTATATATATGTTCGTTGTGTATGCATATGTGTTTTGGTTTTTGTACATGGAAAAATTGCTGCATGCATTTGGAAAGATTGAATCGTTGCATGCATTGTTGAAATGGAATATGCATATATATAATGGTTTGTTTGTTCTTGCCTTCGGTGCGAAAGAAAGCAAGTTGTTGTAATTTGTTTTTCTCAATTGGTTGATTTACTTTGAAATGGCAGTGCATTGAAATGGGTTTTCTTAGCTGCCATTTAAAGAGTCTGGTTAAGTGAACATTGTCCTTTCATGCCATGAATTGTGATTTGCCATGTTATTGATCATTGCATTTCACCATGCATGCCTCAAACTCTCCATAAGTTTTCATGAATGGTTCTGTGATTGAACAAATTGATGTCAAAGTGAATATGTTTGTTGCCGAACATGCAATATGATTTTTTATATCTTCACTTTGTTGATTCGTGCATAATTTGGTTATGTTTATGTTCATGGTGCACTTTGTGTGCGAGGTAATATTCTGGACCAATTCGGTTTGGTTGGTAATGTCAAATACTTATGTAGTATTTGAGATGTGAACAAATTCATAACTTATGTTAGGAGAAAAGTTCATGGAGAATTCAATTAGGTTGAATTTTAAAGAATTCATGTTTGAGATTCAATTTCAAGTACTTGGAAAAAATACAACATATTGCTTCATGTAATCAAATTGTTTGTATTGTAACCTTGTACTGATTTGAAACAAAATGGTGCGAAGATGGAATACTCATCTATGATTGATACTCAATGGGACCTAATGTGGATGATTTGGGCACCCATGTGGACTCGATGGAGAGTATGGGGGAAGAAGAGGAAGTTGAGGAATCGGAAAACGAGGAGGAGTACTCCGACATAGAGACCGATGAATGCCTCTCTGATCCTGACTTCCACCCCAAGAATCCTTAGGATTCTTGTATATGTATTGTAATCTCCTTTGAGGAGTAGACATATGCATGTGTGTATATATACATATGGTATTAATATGTGTGTACCTATGTAAGTCGTGTATTTACATGATGAATAAAGGACAAATGTTCTTTTCTCCCAAGTGGAAAATTAGTTGGATAAAACCTTACAAGTTTGTTTGGTTCCAAAATTAACCACAAAGTTTTAATGCTTTTATTGCATTTGGACTTCATTCAAGGTGATGCATGAGAGGATGGAAGTACTTATGATAGTCCTTCATGGACTCTAAGTAACGGTGGTTTGGATAGTAATAAACTATCTAGTGGGAAACTATGAACAATCATAGGTATGTGAAACCTATGACGAGAGGCCAGTAGGGACTTGTTTGTCAAGTCTTTCTAAGCCAGAATGTTTGCATAGGTTATGTTCAAAATAAGTTGAACATAGTTATGAAAGAGTATACCTCCAATGTGTTGGAGATGAAGTTTGGTTAATGTACGTTTAAAGGTTTGCATTACGAGTAAGCCATAAGTGATAAGGAATTCGAATTCCTAAGATGCTTGTGATGACATAATAATTTGTTTATTATGTATGTGGTTTAGGACTTGATGTTTCCTATGCCACGAGGGTAAGGAAAATGAAGCTATGATTGATCCTTATAGGGATTTAATAAGCTTGCTAAATGATGGTCGTCATCAAGATAAGCATTAGTTCAGAATTGTTTATGGTACAAATTGACTATGATTATCAACGTGGAGCTAGTTGCCAGAACTGTTTATGGTATATACAGATATATATATCATTGGAAAACAATTTGGCATGAGAGCTCAATTGAGATGATCTTATTGAACTTAAAGTCTGGATTACTTATGGTATATTTATGAAGTTTATACCATTGGAAAGTAAATCGACAATTGGATAAGAAATTCGTTTGAATTACTTGTGGTATATCATGTTACAAAAATCAAATGTCATTGGTAAGTAATTAGATGGGATTTCCATTACTGGAATGCATCTGAATTACTTATGACGTCTCAAGTTGCCTTGATCAATACCATTGGTAAGTAATTAGATGGTATTTCTAATAAAATCTGAATTGTTTGTGGTATGCTAATCGAGTGAGATCATACCATTGGTAAACAGTTAGATACACATAGTGGTTGGCAAGTCCAATAAGTAAAACCATGGAAAATAAATGGGATTATTCCATGATGTTTGGCAAAGGGTAGAATTGTGGGGGAGAAGAGCTAGCAATTGTTTCGACTACTATCTCAAGACCCTACAATGGGACGCAAACCTATCCATAAGACAAAAGTGGAAAGGTAAACGAAGTCATACTTGAAAGTATGAAGGTGTCCAATGAGAAAGGGAAAGTCCTTAAACCTTGTGGAGTTAACCTAGTCCAAGGGTATAACTTATGAGTAATCTCTAGCATATATTGACGTTATGTCAGAGAGCTAGAATATTTATTGATGTTGATCCACTCTTCCCAAAGAGATGATTTTGACCATATACATGTATGTATATGAACAACATTCCCCAAACCGGAAACGTTGGTTTCAACAACTATGGCGAAATAGTTGAAATGTGGGGGATAAATTGGGGAGAAGTAATGTGGAATGTCGCTTGGGTGATTCCAAAGTGAAGTGATGTGAATACTTAGGAGTTTTATGTAAACCCTAAGTTAAGTCATAGATGTCACTACATTTGAAGAGATACTTGTGAAACTCAAGTACTCTAAGGTTAATGAAGTAGAGAGATTTCAACACCGTTGGCATGTGTTTTGATTATTGCAAGGCAATAAAATCAAGGCAAACACATAAGATGTATAGTGAATTGAAAAGAGACGAGTCTTTGGTGGATTTTACCCAAAGGAACTCACTGGGTGAACCAAAAGCCATAGTCCATTAATGGATAGGCATTTATGGTTAACGAGGAGCAATATCTTGGAAAACGTCCAAGTAAAACTCTAAGACCGGTGAAGTTGAGTAGTTTGGCCCGCAAAGACTGGCGTTAATAAAACGCATTTGTGCACAAAATGGTTATTGCAAGGGCTAGAAGTGTTATGTGAAACATCTCGTCGTAGAAACATAACATTATTGATTGGTTAATTTCTAGCGAAGTTATCGGAGATGATCAGTTTAGATCAAGTGATAACAAACGTGGGGCCCATCTAGAAATTAATTTAAGTATAGAAGGGAATGGACTCGTGGCCTAGGACAAATCATCATGGCGGTAACTCTACCTAAGAAGGATTTCCAGACCCAACCTCTAGGTTCAAGGAGAAAACAAAGTTGTGAATGATGGTCCGACATTGTCAAATTATTCAAAGTCCATTCTCATGATGAGACAATGTCCAACTATAAGGGTAAACCTAAAGATGGAAGGTTTTTAATGGCTTCTAAGTTTGACACAGGATGTGATCAAATAGTGTATTTTCGGAATACATGTTTAGAAATCACCTATGTGAGTGTGAAGTGGAGCCGCTTCAAGGAGAATAAAAGAAGGCCATTTCTCTAAGCACTCATGAAACCAGGCGGTGTTTCACGGCTGAAACGAACACAACAATGAGAACCAGTGAACGGATAAGAGTTAGTTGTGTGACATATGTTGTCTTAGTATACAAGCAAAACCGACGGTTCAAAAATATCAAAAACATTCTCCATTCATGTGGGGGATTGTTGGGATTTTTAGTGGTGTGAATGGAAATAAAAAAGGGGTAAGTTTCAAGAGAGTCTCTTGAAGTACCATGTTGGTAAGATGTGGGAAGGCACGGCCTCGAATTCGATCGATTTTATGTAATATGTGGCAGCTGGAATAACCAAACCGGTCCAACTACCATGGGTCGAACCGATGCAATGGTTCATTATTTCAAACGTGAACCAATGTGTTGGTTAGGGTGTAACCACCCATATGAAGAGTCGCCTCCCTTCGTACGCACCCCTTCATTTTCTATAAATAGCACCTAACCCCCTATGGTTTTTATATAGATTTTTCCGATACGGAAGTTCTGCCAAAATCCAAAAAAATAGTTTTTCTGCATTCTTTTCAAAGAGAAAATAGAGTCAAGTGTGGTTCACGCCGATTCATTGCGTTCGATGGGTTCCGGGGTTTGAGGTACCGCTACGCTGGAAAAGGTACGTCCTTTCTATCCTGGGAGGAATCATTCCATAAACCTTGGGTACTTGAGGGGAATAAGATTCTTTAAGGAGAGATAGTGAATTCTATCGGCTAGGACGCTTGCATGTGTCTTTGCATGTTTTCTTTATCTTATGTGTTTGCTTGTGTTGCAAGAAAATAGTATACGTGAACTTTTCCCCAAGAGCTTCTACCTCATTGGCTTAGTTAGTGGATTTTTGTTCCCCGACAAAGCAGATCGGTGGATACAAGGCATGTGGTTGTCGTTACTCCTCGGCGATTGGGACGAGATGGGGAGAAAGAGTTGGGGGTCGGCTGTGTTAGCTGGGATTTACCGGGAGTTGTGTACTTGCTCGAAGTTGGGAGCGAGACAAGCTGGTGGTGCGATGTTCACCCTCAAGCTATGGGCATGGGAGCATCTTCCGATTTTCGCAGCTCGAGACCCGTGGGAATTATAGTTTCCAAATGAGGAGCTACGAGATGTAGCGAATCCCCCCTATGGTGTCAAGTAAGTTTTATCTAATTTACATTTATTCCAAGTATGCAATTTAGTTTAATTTAATTTAGATTTATTCCAAGTATGCAACTTTATTTAATTTAGATTTATTATATGTATGCAATTTTATTTTATTTATATTTATTCCAAGTATGCTCCATTAGATATATCAAACCTTCAATAGTAGTTTGTGTATAGGTAAAAAAAATTAGTGATAGTGGAACACCCTTAAAATATGGAAAATGATTATTCAACCTCCTCTAGTATTCTGCATATGGGTACAAATAATATTTAAGTGATAGGGTCTATGTGATTTGAACTTGGGAACACTGCTACTATTAGTAAATATAGTTTCAATTAGACTACAACTCATTTGTTGTTATGTTTTAGATCAAAATATGATAGTAAAAGGCTATTCTTATCCCCAATTATTTTCAAAACCTAACGATTAAATCCAATTACGGGTTACCCTTGTCTAGTAGGATATGTCACGAGAGATTTGTTGAGTAGTGTATACACCGAATGTATTTTACAATTTTTTTATAATACGGATCATGTTTGAACTTTTATTCTAACTTTTACTAGTTGAATATTTTCATATTTAATAATTATTAGATTTATTTTTTTAATTTTAATTTTAATTTTTTTTAAGAGGACACCCTATTTAAAATTTCTGAATCTGCCACTGGCTACGAGTAACTACTGAGGAATGGCCCCGCGAGAAGGGTTGACGAGGAAAGGATTGACGGAATTGTAAATTCCACCGCACACACCTTGCTTGATTTTCGTGTGGACTATAATGCCATTACGAAAGTAGGTCAGCTCCAAATCCCTCCTTCGGTTGTTATTGGGTTATGAAGGATGGTCAATTAAATGAATAATTGGTGGAAGACAAAGGTTAACGTGGCAAAATCAATGGTGGGTTTATTTAGGTTGTAGCAAATGGGAAAAAGCAGAAGTATTAGTATGGCCAAAGTGACACGGCTACTAAATTGTTGGGACTATTAGAATCTGTTGAAGGGTTCATACCCCATTCATTCAGTAACATAGAACTCGATCATTAGTGGGTTTGCACAGTTGGAGTTTGAGTAAGGGTGCTACATCAGAGGAATTGAGGAGTCATCTTTTCGAGTTGAGTGTAAAGTGGGTAAAATCTCTGTCAAAATCTTTTTAGTTTATGCTTTCGTTTCAAGTTATTATTTAGTTAATTTTTAAGTTATGCGCGACTATGTGTGTGAGGCATCGCCGCCTACTTAAGGCGAAGACACACATTGTGCTATGAATGAATGTATGGATGTATGATTGTAATAGTTGGTTAATGGTAAGATGAACCCCTGGGCGGTTGGCCCACTACTGGACGCGATAGATGGTCGGATCACTGCTGGACGGCGAGACGTAACGCAACAGTTGATCGAGTATGTTGGATCACTACTGGGCGGCGAGACGTATCGCAGTAGTTGCTCCTGGCATGGACTGGACGACGAAACGTAACGCAGCGCAGTGCCATTGTCAAGCTGTGTATGCAACCGGAGACGTAACGTGATTGGCATACTAGGTAGGGACACCGGACGACGATTCGTAACGTGGTGGTCCCTAGTGTTTGGTGTATAAGTTAAGGATAGAAGTAAAGAACTTCTATAGGATGACATAGGAGTAAAGATAAAGGATAGACTGTTTTGAGAATAAATTTTTTTAAGGATGAAGGCGAGAACGACTTTCATCTAAGGCAAGAAACTCTAATAACGTGTTTAGTAAGGAGTATGCTTAGGGAAAAGACCTTAGGAAGTAACGACGAGACTGACCCCTTCTCACTCACCAGGTCGAGGAAGGGTTAGCAGAGGTGGATTTTGAGAAGAGGCTAGGCGAGGCGAGAAGCCGCACCAGAGTGAACGAGATCGAGGCGAGCTCAGCAAGGGGTGTTAGAGTTTATTTAGTTAGTTATGTTTATGATTATGAGTATAACTGGAGGTTCAAAGGTTAAGCTTTATTGACTATTATTTGAGGTCGCCCACGTGTTTAGGACATTTCATTTGAAAGGGATTCAGTTGTATTTGTTTTAATGAAATTTTTTAGGTTGTTTTAAATCGGCTCCGGAGCCATGTGTATCTCGGTTTGTTAAAAGGATCGGGTCGTTACATTATATGTGTAGCTTTGCTTACATGGAGGATCGGAGCAAATAAAAAATACCACCAACCTTAGCAGTCTTTACTGTTTATCGTGCTGAGTTTGATAAGTCTTGGTGGAATCAGGCAAAAATGTATTTTTGAATATTTTAAATTTTTACCTTCCAATGGATATAATTGATACTAATTGCCAATTATTAACGAGTGTAGGTGACATGAGACCCATTTCCACATGAAGCGTTCGAGCTGCATCGTCTTACACACCCCGAGGATACGAAGGAGTGGTTCTGTTGACACATGGTGGAGTGGCACCTGTCGGATAGAGCCTTAAGGCAATATCGATTAGAGCTACCAATTCCAGCATCCCCACCCGTAGGTTTCAGGGATCTCCATGCCATCGACCTAGGGTTTAGGGTTGCTTGAACTACCACCCCATCTGTACCCTCCTGCAAAACCATCATTATAAGAATACTGGTGAGAATGAGTTTCACCCACCGCCTCGGTCTCGACATACACCTCTACAAGCCGTATCCCGTTGTCAGATAGGAACTGTATCATCATGGTAACCGTGTCATCATCATTTATGACAAATTCTTCCTACATAAATCCACTGGCACTCATGTTTGGATACCGGTAAGTAATTTTACCAACTCTCGTCTGTCCGCCCATACAAATCCTGTATGCACAAATGTCACGAAGTTCTTGCCACATGAATCTCGACTCAATTTTCAACATAGTTGATTCACCATCTTCATAATCGATCTCAATGTCAGAGTTTCTCACTCAACCATTCCACCGAATAATAAGCCGAAACTTCTTAAATATACTCATGTATGCAATTTATAATAAGTAACTATTAGCTTAACTCGAATAAGATTAGTATAGTATAATTAGTACTTGGGGCTACACAAACAATATCCAACACCATATTTTTAGAGCTACGAAAACAATATCATCCAAAACCATAAACAACCGCAACTAACTAATCGAAACATTGACCATAATTAGCATTACAATAACATGATTATACTAAACAAATTCATCTAACTAACATCAATCCTACCATAATTAATCTAAATATCTCTAACATAACATATTTGCCACTAACCGCAATTCATTAAATACATACATATAATTATTAAACCATCAATATCTAAACAGTACATAATTATATCATACCAAAAAATTTAAGTTTCTGTACCCGTAGTTGCTGGAAGCAATGTAGTCAAAAGCTAGTTTTAAAGCCTAAAAGCCTACGCTTTTACGCTTTGGAACCCCCCAAATATTGTAGCTTTTGTTCAAAAAGCTTTTTGCACCAACAACCCAAGTAAAAGCCCTCAAGCCCAGTAAAAGCCTTAGAAGCTAGTTTTTGACCGCTTCTCTACGCTTTTGATATCCGAGTATGATGATCATATTTGGTCGTGTTTGGTTCAAATTTTTGGACAAGAGAAAAATGATGCAGTCTTATTTGTTTTCTAGTCGGGTTATCCTTTTAGTATTCGCTTTTATGAATTTATCATCCCTAAGTCACCGACACTTTTCCACATTCTCGTATTTTCTCTGCCTCCAAAACCACATACCACATCCAAAGTTCTGCTTCCAAAAGCTTTTCCCTTAGTTTCCCGCAACGTGCATCCAACTTCCTCTTAGTAGGCTCCCACTGCTACAATAACTTGGACATCTTAATTCGATGCATCAACTCTCCCCATCCCTATAACTCATATCCCAACCCTATGACTATGTTGTCGTCAAAGCTCATCACCTTCAGCCTCACATTTGCCACCACTTTCACTTATTAGTGGAGTTTGTCTATAACCCTTCTAGCTTCATGTTTTGTTGTTGGTTTCCTTTTCACATATTTTTTCTAGAAAGCAAGAGGAAGATGGTGAATTCTTGTTTAAAGGCCTATTAATTTAGTTTATGTGTATGAGAGTAGTATGTTAAATATGAGCTAGTTCATCTCTCTGTTCATATTTTGCATAATACAAGTTATGGTTATAATATTTCTATTAAAATTATATGATATGCAAAAGCTTACGCTTTCACGCTTTGCTTTTGCGCTTCCGCTTTTACCCATCATTTCACTTTTACCTAGAAGCTAGACTTTGACTGCATTGGCTGGAAGCTGGCTGAGAAGAAGATTTTTGCAAACATTTGAGTGGAATGGGACAGATTTTTGAGGCAAATACGTGGGGGTTCCGTTATATATATGCAAACTAGGTCAAGTAATCACCGCAAGAGTCCATAACAGTGAAGTTGTTCATCCCTGTAGCCTATTGCGGTGAATACTAGATCGTTATGACCTAATTTTCCATCTACCATGACTGGAAAACGTGGTAGACAATCACCACTTTTCACAACTGCGGTGATATGTTCATCGTTGTCGTCCATTGCGGTGAATATGTTCACTGTTTTTATCCAACGCAGTGGTTGGTTCACTGTTTTTCTGCATTGCGGTGATTATTTCATTGTTTTTAATTAAAACCGTGATATATTGATTGTCTTTGTCTATTGCGGTGATTTATTTCACTGTCTTGGACCATTGTGGTGATAAGGAAATACTAGTTAACTCTTTAAAAGAACAAGTTCTAAAACACTATTTCATAGATTCACATAACAAGGGGTGCTCTTTTAGTAATTAATCAAAGTTTGGATTAGTTTTTGTGTCATTAAGGTTTTAATTAACTAACTTATGACAATTTGAGCCGAAATCAATGGATATTTTTCCCTTCCCATATCGATCGCGTTTACAATCGTTTACCCATTTTCTGTGTGGTGTCGGGCTTGCAAATAATTTTTGTTTTTATGGTTTTGGGTTTTATGCCGGGTTTTATGCTCACCCTTTTCATGTGTTTGACTACTTCTTTTGCCTTCGTAGTTGGTACCTTATTTCTTATCTTAATGATCTTTCCTTCACTTATTGACCACGTTTAGGGTCGTTGGACCAATTTTTTTGTTGTATCGGACTTTCTCTGTGGTGTCGGGCTTGCAAATGATTTTGGTTTTTATGGTTTTGGTTTTTATGCCGGGTTTGACTAGTTCTTTTGTTTTCGTGGTTGGTACTTTTTTCTTATCTTAATGATCTTACCTTCGATTATTGACCACGCTTATAGTCCTTGGATCATTTTTTTTTCGTTGTATCGGACTTGAAGATGTTTTTTGCGACTTTAGGGTTTGGTTCGTTTTTATTCTCGGTGGGAATTTTTACGTAAATGCTTGGAATTGTTTTGTGTAGCCGCTTGGAGTCGTTTCACCGCTTTTTCTCTGTTGTATCGGGGTTGCAAATGGTTTTTGGTTTTGTGTTTTATGTCGGATTTTACGATCTATTGTGTTTGACTATTTTTTCTTGCCAAAATTTATGATCACTTGTGTTTGACCACTTTTGTTTTGCCTTCATGGTAGGTACATTCTCTTATCCTGATGATCTACTAATGCAAATTTTGGTTTTTATGGTTTTGGGTTTTATGCTCACCCTTTTTATGTGTTTGACTACTTCTTTTACCTTCTTGGTTGATACCTTTTTCCTTATCTTAATGATCTTTCCTTCTCTTATTGACCACGTTTAGGGTCGTTGAGCCGGTTTTTTTTTTGTTGTTGTTGTTGTTGTTGTATCGGACTTTCTCCATGGTGTCGGGCTTGCAAATGATTTTGGTTTTTATGTCGTTTGACTACTTCTTTTGCCTTCGTGGTTGGTACTTTTTCCTTATCTTAATTATCTTACCTTCGCTTATTGACCACGCTTAGTGTCGTTGGACCTTTTTTCCGTTGTATCAGACTTGAAGATGGTTTTTGGGACTTTAGGGTTTGGTTGTTTTTTTATTCCCAGTCTTGCAAATTTAACGTAAGTGTTTGGAATTGTTTTGTGTATTCGCTTCACCGTCTTTCTTTATTGTGTCGGGGTTGCAAATGGTTTTTGGTTGTGTTTTATGCTGATTTTTATTATATATTGTGTTTGACTATTTCTTTCCCACGAAAATTTATGATTTATTGTGTTTGACTACTTTTGTTTTGCCTTCATGGTAGATACATTTTTTTATCCTGATGATTTATTGATTCTTCTTTCCTTTTTGTTAATTTAACATGTGACTCTTTGTAATTAATCATAAGTTTAGCTTAGTTTTTATTTTTCTAATTCTTTTATTTTATCTATCCAAAGGTTTTTAAAACGCGGTGTTGACGAATTTTGTGTCGACAATAATTTTTATATGTTTTTCTAATTTAAGGGATTGAGTCGAATGTGGATTTTGGGTTTTATTTCAGGTTTTACGCTCACCCTTTTTATGTGTTTGACTACTTCTTTTGCCTTCGTGGTTGGTACCTTTTTTCTTATCTTAATGATATTTCCTTTGCTTATTGACCAAGCTAAGGTCGTTGGGCAATTTTTTCTTTTTGTTGGATTTGAAGATGGTTTTTGCGACTTTAGGGTTTGGTTGGTTTTTTTCTCTGTTTTGCAAGTTCTTATATTAGTGCATGGAATTGTTTTGTGCCGCTTCGAGTCATTTCACCGCCTTTTCTCAGTTGTGTCGGGTTGCAAATGGTTTTTGGTTTTATGTTTTATGCCAAATTTTATTATTTATTGTGTTTGACTATTTTTTTCCACCAAAATTTATGATCTATTGTGTTTGACTACTTTTGTTTTGCCTTCATGGTAGGTACATTTTTCTTATCCTAATGATCTATTGATTGTTCTTTCCTTTTTGTTAATCTAACATGTTACCCTTTGTAATTAACCATAAGTTTAGCTTAGTTTTCATTTTTTCTAATTCTTTTATTTTATCTATTTAGAGGTTGTCAAAACACGGTGTTGACGAGTTTTGTGTAGGCAACGAGTTGTACATGTTTTTCTAATTTAAGGGATTGAGCCGACTGTGGATTTTACCCACTTTTATAATAAACAGATTGAGTCGAGTGTGAATTTTGTTAAAAGTGGCGAATCTGGATGGTTCTGGTCTTCTTCTTCAAGAGTGGCAGGGTCCATAAGAACATAGGGATATGTTCCATCCAATCGGTGACCATTTTGTAACTAAAGGAATCTTTAAAGGTCTTTATGTTTTTTTTTTTTTTTGTTTTTTGTTTTGTTGCTTTCCCTTCTTCCCCTCTTCCCAACCACACGAAGCCCTCTCTCTCCTTCTCCTTCTCCTCTTTCACCTTTATCTTTCTCTTTTTTACTCACCCAAACCTCCCTGTCACTTGAAGAAGAAAGGGGGAAAACAACTCACTTCTCTCTTTAAGAAGTGATGAGGAAGATTGCCTACAGGTCTGTAGGGGCGTCCCGACGGTGACGACGATGATGACAAGGTGGTTTAGGAGTGCAGCGCCGATGGTATCAAGCAGATTCGGCCGGTGAGAGCAAAATAACAATGGCGACAATGTGGGTGGTAGTGAGGCGCTGTGATGACCTGAATCTAGTTGCCATCAACGAGATCGACGACGATGGCAGATCGATAGCAACGGCGAGGCTGGTAACATATGTAGAGATGACAGGTGTCAAATACTGGGCAATGAGGTTTTCTGGATTATGCGATGGCGTTGCTGAAGAGATTTGCAGGAGGTGGAGGAAATTGCAGGGCTGTCATTTGGGAGCCATCGAGAAGGAAAAATATTTTTCTTTGTGTTTGTTTGGTTCCCGCCGGAATTTTCTCTTCCTGTCTCTCTCTCTCTCACAGTCGATGAAGTAGAAGAAGAATGCAGAGATCTCTAACATCATATGAACGGTAAGTTCTTATTACTTATTTTCTTTTAATATTATCTTTCATTTGACGGGTACTTCTTTTTAATTGGGTTTTCGTTTGGTTTGTTACTCAGTTTGGTTTCATCATTCAGCCTCTTAGACTCTTAGTAGTCATGGAAACATATGGCTTTTATTGACTTTAGGAGCCTGGCTTTGATACGCCCCTGGGGGTGTATGTTATCAAAGTAACGCAGCATACGACTCAATCGAAGAATCGATTGAGCTCGAATTAAGAACGAAGCGCTCTTAATACGAACTTGGGATAAAACGGAACCAACGGACAATTCCACACCAGGGGAAAGATCGTATGGTATAAAAGGGTAGCTGCTCGACCACGATTGAAGAGGATATTCAATCGATACAAAGCTCACAAGCTTGGAATCCACCAAACTCAAACAAGTCGCAACTTGCACAAAACCAAAGGTTTGTTTTTCGATTAATCAAAGTCTAAGTTTTTATAACGTAAATAGAAGAGTATTTATAGACAAATATACCTAATACAATCCTACATGAACAAGGAAACTAATTAGAACAGAAAAAGGCTAAAGAATTCGTGTAAAACAAGGTAACTTGCTGGCCAAGAAACTGACTTAAAACGCAGGCTTCATAGCATCTTTGAGCCCTTCGAAAATGGCCTTCGAGGTTGATTCGAATTCAACCAATTCCTTTCCTTTGTAGAATAAAATTTCTTGTTTCACCTCCAACTTGAATCAGCCTAAGATCATGCTCCAAACTCCAGATATAGGCTTTCAAAGTTGGTATCTCAAAACAGTTTTCTGCCTTAGCCAAATTTAGACAGTTTTTCTGTTTTGAGGTAGCCTCTTGATGGGCTTTGAAAGTGACCTTCCAGACATCTCCTTGAGCTCCAAAACATACCAATGTAATCATAATAACATTATCTTCAAAACAAGCTCTTGATCTCCCATTTTGATTGAGCCATTTGTGAGATACAAGCTTCCAAAGTAGGCTACCTGAAACTGTTTCAACACTTAGCCAAAAATCAGAATTCTTCATGTGAGTTGAGATGACTTCTTTGGTAAGTAATATTGAATTGTTGATTGATCCAATTGGGATCATATCAGGCTTGGTATTGCCGAATTGATGTCAAGGTTAGTCAAGTTTGAATGAAATTATGTATTATATGGTTGAATAGGTACTTAGGGTTCTTCTACCACTGAAATTATCCAAGCTTTATTTAATTATCTGGCTTTTAATTTGTAGAGCTTTTAGTGGTTAGAACTTAGAAGGCAGTTTATCCATCCATTACTCATGCAATATACCTTTATGATCGCTATTACCTTTATTTTGGAGTTTTGAGCTTCTTTACATTCCTTGGCAAATCATGTATAAATAACGAGTGAGTAACCTATTGATTTAAAAGGTTACCTTTTAAATAGGGCTTACCTTTTAAATCAATAGAATTGGCTGGTCATCCGCCTTGCATTTGCTAATTGATTGGAACACTCAAACACATCATCAAGTTAGACATGATTAAATATATATTGTCCCTATTTTGCTTATACAAGTGTGGTCCATTAATCTTGCATGTTTTCTTCTTCTTGATTCATAATTTGGATATGATGTTTTGAGCACCTCACGTTATATTTAGGAGATGTGGTTGTATGGTGTTTTATCCTAAATGGATGTTTGATAATCGCAGAAAGGGAGATCTGTGATTAAGCTCCCTGTTTCCTTTCAATTTCATGCTTGTAGGAAGTATTCAAAGGTTGATTGTTTTTTAAGTTTCTTTGATCACACATAACTAAGTGCAATCGAAAGGTTCATGGTTGTACTCAGTATTCAAATTTTGATTTACAAGACATGTGAGTGTTCTTTGTGTAATGTGGTTTGTTTGTTGAAGCAGGTTCTTGTTGTTCATTCAACAATCCATGTCTAAACCAGTGATTGTTGATTATTTTTTCCAGTACCCATTTTGCTTTGTTGAAACCAAATAAGAATGGCATGATAGCCTTAAGACAGTATCAACCAATCAGTTTCTTTGCTTGAGAATTCTTCTACAACATGTAACATCGTTATGTTCTTTAATTAATAAGGTTCAAGAATGGAACTCGATGGTAGATATGTCGTGTTATTTGTGTGTGATGGTTAACGAAACTAGGAATCATTTGTTTTATGGATTTTGTTTTGTACATGAAGTTTGTAGGTTATTTATGTGATGGATGGGATTATTCCCCTGGTGAAGGATGACATGAAGGTCTAGAAGAAGATGTGCAGAAGTTGGAGAAGCATCATGTGGGAAGTTTCTGTAGACCATGGTGGTTAGTTAAGTATAGAGAGAACGATGTCGCTGTATTTTGGGAAGAAGATGACAATGTAGGAGTTGACTGGGAAATAATGGCAGTGCTAGAGGTTAAGATGCTTAGCGATTGTAACTTCACAATAGAGCCAGCCATGATAGTGGTCTTAGGATGAGTTAGATGTTTAGAAGAATGTAAGTATAAAAGTCTACGGTAGACTGTTGCGTTTCATTTGAATGTTCATGGTTGATTTAAATATGTTGGAACTGAAGACACTTTGGTGCAAAGAAATGGATGGCTTTTAAGGCCTAATGAAATTGCTTTAGGTGCTGGTCAATTTCAGCTATAATTAAGGTAATTTCCTGTACTATCCAATTCTTTGTTAGAGGAGTCTTCAATGTCGATTTGTCAGCCACTTTATCTTAGAAACATATTTTAATACAGTGGAGCTGGGGAATATTTATTTATGTTAAGCCCAAGTAAGTTCTTTGGATAATGAGGAGACATGGTAATGACGAGGCCTAATGGCGAGATGTTGTAATAGTAAAGTATAATTTCTCGAACTCCTTATGTACGCTTTTGGGTGCTTCTAACACACACACACATATTGTATGTATATTGATTTCTCATTTCCAACTTTTCTTCCATTTATAAGATAATTAGAATTTCTTTTTTGGTCTTTTTATGAGTGAACTCTTTGCTTTGTCTACAATTTATGACTCAACATTCTTTCCATTATTTTTTGCTTTATTATGTATTCTATGTGTCTTCATCTTCATTATTTTTACTTTTTAGTATTTTAGCTCACATAAACTCAAATTAATAATTCACGTCTCACACCCATGATTATAGATTTATTTATCTATACTCACAAATTAATAATTTTGTACTAGTGTTAATATAAACGAACTACAACTGCGGTCTAAGTACCCATAAACTGGGGGGGGGGGGGGGGGGGGGGGGCGGAATCCCAAAATATACATGTAATTAAAAAATTTCCAAAATACATAAGTTATAAAAAAAATCTCAATCTATACATGTTTGACATTCACCGTTGTTGTCTAACGTAATAAAGTCATTCCCCGCGTCTAAGAAAAGCGGTGAAATTATCAATGTTTTATCCCCGCTTGAGAAAACAGCGGTGAATGATTCCCCGCCTTTGTTAATAACAGTCAAATAATCACCGTCTTAACAAAAAGCGGGTAACACTTCACCATTGTCGTCCAAAGTGGTGAATTCTTCACCGCGCTAGGTTATGGCGGTGAACAATTGCCACATTTCCCACCCCTGGTAGGTGAATAATTAGGTCACAACCACCTAACCTTTACCGCGTTAGGGCAACGCGGTGAATGCCTTCACCGCTTTGGATAACGGTGGTGAATTCCCCTTTTTGTTAAATAAATACCCCTCCCACGTAGTTGTTGGAAAAATACTTCCCCCGATTTCTGCGTGGCCTCTTCCCCATTTCTCTCAAATTAAACAAATATCCCATTTTCAGCCTGCTTCTAGCAACTACGATTACGGAAGCTCCAATTTTGGTAGGACATAATTTCGTATTGTTTAGATTTTGATGTTTTAGTAGTTATATGTATGTACTTTTGTTAGTGGCAAATATAAGTAGTTAGAGATATTTAGATTAAATATGGTATGATTGATGTTAGTCAGTTATGAATTTAGATTAATTTGTTTACTATACTCATATTGTTGTAATGCTAATTATGGTTCATGTTTAGATTAGTTAGTTGCGTTTGTTTATAAGTTTGGATGATATTATTTTCGTAGCCCTAAAAATATGATTTTGTTTAATGTTTTTGTAGCCCCAAGTACTAATTATACTATACTAATTTTATTCGACTTGGGCTAATAGTTACTTATTATAAATTCAAGAAGTTTCAGCTTCTTATTCGATTGAATGGTCGGGTGACAATCTCTGACATTGGGATCTATTATGAAGACAGTGAATCCACTATGTTGAAAGTTGAGTCGAGATTCACGTGGCAAGAACTCTGTGACATTTGTGCATACAGGATTTGTATGGGCGGACATACGAGAGTTGGTAATATTACCTACCGGTATCCAGACATGAGTGCTAGCGGGGTTATGTACAAAGCCTTTGTCAAACGATGATGACGCGGTTACTATGATGTTATAGTTCCTAGGCAACAACGGGATGCAACTTGCAGAGGTGTATGTTGAGACTGAGGCGGTCGGTGAAACTCATTCTCACCAGTATTATTATGATGATGGTTTTGCAGAAGGGTACAGATGGGGTGGGAGTTCAAGCAACTATGGAGGAGGTAGTTCTGCAAGAGGGGTGCCATGGGAAGAATACCCGCAACATGCTGAACCTTCCCCATTTGTTGAGCCCGACGACGTTCAATGGCCTACGTGGGGGCCAGAGTGGTTGACATTAAGAACACCATTCGATCTGGGCGTACTTTGCAGGAGCAAGAATACGATGTTGGTGATGGTGGTCACGATGATCATGTTGATTGCTTGTAATGATGCTGTAATTGTGATCTATCTTTAGACAACATGGAAGTAAAGTAAAACATAGATCACGGATACTTCAATGGAAAACACAAGACCGAACTAAATTAAGACAACATGGATAGTTCATAGAAAACACAAGACCTAACTACATACAGACAACATGGATAGTTCAATGGAAAGACACAAATCTAAACTAAACAAAGATAACATGGATAGTTCACTGGTTACCTTCATTTTGTTCCCTTCTCTCCCTCTTCCTCGTCCTCCAAGGCGTCCTCGACCCCTTCTTCCGCCTTCTCTCCCTCCTCCTTCCTGGAAAGTTTGTTGGACAACTGCTCGTGGATTCCTCTTAACCCAACCCCACACCAGAGTATACATAGGTGGTGGAGGTGGAGGTGGCTGGGATGGACCAGAAGAGTGGTAGTAGCTTGATGCATGAGGGGTCTGTTGCTGCATGGTATAATGCATCGGACTCTGCTGATGATGGTGGAATTGAGGGAACCCTTGGGGTAACATGTCATGTTCCTGAGATGGGACATAGCTCGATGAGCCTCTAGCGATCTCCGGTGCATTTGCCCACTCGTACTCAAATGGTTCAGGGAGTTCTGTTTCTTGAGTCGGACGAAGCTATTGAAAGGTTGGCTGAGGCTTGCGTTTGCTCTTCCGTGGGGGCTCAACCGGGGGCACATTGCGCTCACCATCACAGAATGATGGGTGGGCCGGGGGTGGCAGTGGAGGATATGCTACGACATCCCTCATTTGCTCTCGGGTACAACTTAGGAGGTTGTTCATAAGACTTCGCAACCAAGATGTCTTTCGCTCATCCATGGTGGGTGCACTCTCGACCATGTGCATGGCATGTTCCAAACCATCAACCTAAGAAATTTAAGTAGTATAACAAAATTAATCAAAATTTAAACAAAAGAATAAGACAAAGAGGGAGACTTGGGATGACTTGCCTACGAACCCATCACAACACTTGCTTTGACACCCATCTAAGCGTAAACTTCCGATGCCACTGCATGTACCCATCATGGTACCCCATAGGTCTCGTCTCCGGCTTCCCTTGGACCACTCAATTATATCTATTCTCCTAAACATTGATGTAGAACTGATGCTAGAGAAGCCAATTCTTTGCTTGGTGGCGGAAGTCGATGACATGGAGCTCCCTGAAACCTTGAAGCGGGGTTGCTAGAATTGTTTACTCCAATTGATATTGCCTCAAGGATTGATCAGGCAGGTGCCACTCCACGACGTGCCAGCAGATAAAGGGCACCTTGCACAACCACGTCTCGTGATCCTAAGGGTGTCTAAGATGATGCAGCTCGACCACTTCACGTGGATATGGATCTCATGTAACCTACACTCATTCATAATTTGCAATTAGAAACCAATTACTTCCATAATATTGTAATTCGTTAAAATATTGAATTGTCATAATTATCTGGTTCCACCAGGGCTTATCAAACTCAGCACGATAAAACAGTAAAGAGTGCTTAGGTTGGTGGTCGTTTGTATTTTTTTCGATTCACCTTGTAAGTACAAGTACGCATTGAGAGCACAGTCTCGTCTATGTTGCTGAGTTTGTTTCAGCCTTGCAACTTGATCTCTAATCCTTTGTTCTTCGTGGCATTTGCCTCCCCTTAATAAAAAAAAGTAAAAGTACGCATATATGAATTTTTTTAAAGCATGAAGGCTAAGCATGTAAGAATTTTTTAAGCAACTAATCAATTTACTTAATAAATTTAATTTAGGCATGGAATACATCTAAATCAAATCAAGCTAAGCATGGAATAAATCTAAATTAAATCAAAGCTAAGCATGAAATAAATCTTATATAAAGATAAATTAAATAAAGCTAAGCATGAGATAAAATTAAGGATGGAAGAAATCTAAAATAAATAAATAAATAAATAAAGCTAAGTATGAAATAAATCTAAATTAAATTTACTTGACACCATAGGGGGCAGTTGGCACATTTCGTAGCTCCTCATTTTGTCTCCAGAATGGACGCAGGTCTTGAGATGCGAACATTGGAAGATGCTCCCATGCCTAGAGCTAGAGGATGAATATCGCACCACCAGCTTGTTTCGCTCCCACCTTCAAGCAAGTACACAGCTCCCTATATACCCCAGCTAACACGGTCGACCCCTCAGCTCTTTGTCTTGATCGCGTCCCAGTCATCGAGTAGCAATGGCAACCACCGTCCTTGAATCCACCTGTTTGCCTTGTCGGGGAACATAAATCCACCAACCAAGCCAATGAGGTAGATGCGTGCATACAGCTCCACTTGATCTTCTGGAGTTTTTGGCCCGATTTCAACCTTATCTTGGATGTGAGCAACGAGCCATGGGATCGATACTTGTCCTGCATTCAATGGTGGATGCCCCCGTTCTTGGACTGGAGTGGTGGTCGGCATGTCGAAGCCCAAACATTCAAAAATCAGCAGCCCCCAGCCAGCTTCGGGTTTGATCGAGTGACCGATGATGGCATCTCCCGTGATCGGCAGCCTGGTGAGGATGGCAACGTCTTTGAGGGTGATCGTCATTTCCTGCTCCGGAAAGTAGAACGTATGGGTTTCGGGGCGCCATCGCTCTGCCATTGTCGTCAGCAGATCGTTGTCGATCTCAATCCGCATGAAATGCCTCACCATACCCAACCTCGTCCTCTCTAGATACGTCGAGAGTCGATCATGCCAAGCGTGCAAGTTTGTGGTCCCTTAATGAATGACAAAAAAAGTTATTCCTACATAAAAAATACAAAAAACACCAAGTTGTTAGTCAAAGGAAAGCAAAATAAAATCTTTTAAAATAATGAAATAATTAAAAAATTATAAGGTACGTAGTGTTTACCGGATTGTTGTGCCAAATTGCACGCGAGCGTTGTGTTTCTTGCTCTGATAAATACTTCGTATCTCTTGGCCCCATAATGGATATACGATCGAGGATCATATATCTCAGCACCAACTATAAAATAATTTGAAAGAAATCAGATTGTTTCGATTACAAAAAAATAAATCACAAAAGGATTACCAAGAACGTACCCGAAGAGCCTCTTCGTCCATTTTTTGGCGGAAGCCAGACAGTGGTTCGACGGAAAAGAGGGGAGGGCTTTAGGATATAACACTAGGAATTCTTTATGATGTCGAAGATCAGACTTAGCCGCAACCACAGGGCATACTTAGAACGAAACTAGAGTGGAGGAATTGAGGGAGAAAGAAGAGTAGTGTGGTGGTGTGATTTGGAATAGGGGAGAAGGGTGGTATTTATAGGGGAAGGGGACTACTGGAATCTAACACAGCGCAATCACGCATTTTTCTAATGCAGGGAATGACCAGGATCGCTGACGTGGGAGGCTGTGAGACGTCGGATCAGAGAGGAAAACCAGAATCCGCACCTCACTGCATCCGACGGCAACGGTGAAGGGGCGGGGCGACGGGTATCGCTAACATGGACAGCAGGGCATTCCCCGCGTTTGTCCACGGTAATGAATGCTTCACGTTCGTCCACGTCAGTGATCCGCGTCCACCAACCTTTCACCGTAGTCGTCCGATGTAGTGAAATGTTCCCTTCTGTAAACGAAGGCGGTGATTAGTTCCCCGCGTTTGATTAAAATGGTGATGCATTCACCGTTTTAGTTTAAAGCGGCGATTGCTTTACCGTTGTTGTCTTGATTATATTCACTGTGTTAGACAACGACGATGAATGTTAAACATGAGTACGTTGAAAATTATTTTTATAACTTACTTATTTTGAAAAAAAAATAACAACTAGTGTATTTTGAAATTTTTTCTCATTAACTCTTCTAGTGATCTTGTAGTCATCGGCAGCCTTTCTATTCCCAGAGAAGAATGGTAAATATGCTAATCACTTCTAACCAACTAATACGAGAAAAAAGTGCATGAAAGTTGGGTTATTGAAACAACAGAGACAAAAAAAATTCCCTTTTGCCCTGACTGGGTCAATTAAACAGTTCACGTCGATCCTACATTTTATTCTCTATAAGTAATTGGTGACATATCTAGAATCATAAACAGAAGCGGTAAAAGCTTGGAGACATTACTACAGGCTTCAGGAGAGGCTTTGGGTTCGTCGCACTATTAGGAGATCTTGAGATCTAGTGCCGCTTACAGCAATTCTTGTTCTACATGATCTGAAGGAGACTTCACGGTTTAGAGCTTCTATCTGTCCTTGTTCTGCATGATCTGAAGGAGACTCCAAGGTTTAGGCCTTCTATCTGTCTACAAACTGCCTACACATGATGCTCCTCAAGATTCTTCAGTGGCCTCGGAGTATTGAGAATGAGAAGCAGCCAAGAGCGCTGCACCGATGCCAGAGCCATCGTTTGAGAGCTCAATGGTTACACTCTCTGAAACTTCATCTCCAAGCAATTCAGTTAGAGTGGCTTTCAAGCAGTCTCTAAACTTGGCATAATGCTCAAACAACCCGCCATCTAAAGCTATCACCGACTTCTTCTCGTCCCCTTTTTGAACTGTGTCTCTTCCAACTTTCTTGAGGATGCCGAAAATCCCAGCAGCTGATAGACGGGCTCCACGGGTGGCAATAGTGCTGCAGAGCTCGACAATGAGCTCTCTTGTTTCCAAGGAAGTATTTGATATCTGGACAAAACATCAAGGGGAAGGAGAATATGAAGTATATCAGATAGTGGATTGCATAATAAACTAATAAAGCCATTGAATCCTGAAGTTCTTTTTATTTATTTATTTATCAAAGTGACAAAATCGCCGAAATATCCTCCAAACCACGCCGGATTTTCAACAGAGTGTCATGATCCGACCACCTACCATCCCCCGCGAACTCCTATTAACCAAACTCACCAACCTGTGAACCCAACAAACCCAACCCATTTGCTACCCCTAATAACTGCCATTAGGATTGTGTCACAGACTATACACTGAAGTTCAAATATGAGACAGTTTGATTGTTGGGTATACTGGCATCTGGGGATTCTAACTTCCCCTTTTCCACAAAGGAAATCAAAACACGGCATGGTAAAAGCCTTCAACAAGAAATGTACCTCGAAGACTTCTTTTAGTTTGCTTCCAACAACTGTTAAATCTGGCGAGGTATCGTGATGCACCGCTGACATGACTGGAGTCCTGGATGCACAACAACAGAGCCACCAATCAGTAATCAATGAAGGAATTCACGTCAAAGGCTCATTACTTTAGCTTAAGTGACCTTAAATGCATACCTCAAGATGAATGGAGACATCAATTTTGGAGGAACAACATCACCAAACAAGGCAGCTTCTTCAGCCATCTTTAGTAGAACCCTGCGCAAGATTTCTCCTAAATACATACCAGATATCACCTTTTCAAAAATCTGCAAGACAACAAAGGAAGTCTTTATGAGCATGGTTCAGACTATAATCAAGTCAATCTTGAAATGGGATGAAGGAAAAGAAAAGGTTAAACTGACCTGATCTCCAGGATTCAAGGACTCAATATCCAGGGCTTTATCATATTCTGTCAACGGAAGGTGTGGAGAGTGGAAACTACCCCATTCCATGTTGATAACCTTGTATCATAAAAGCATTGCCTGTTTAGTTCCATAAAACTTGTAATTACAGCAGTAACAGGTACATAGCTTAGGATAATAAGACAGACCATTTCGCCAGACTTGGGTACAACACCCTGCATCTTTGGAATAGCATTTGCTCGTTCTACATATGCTGCATTTGTTCCAGTACCCAATATCACAGCTGCAATGACATCAGGGTTATTATACCTTCCTCCAGCCAATGTTCCAATTGTATCATTCACCTACAATCAGTACAAAGACAATGCCAGCCAATGACAGAAAAACTGAGCTATACATCATCAAATTACTTTCTGAACATAGACTGACTGCCCAATTCCATTCCAAACACGAGTCGCTTACCAAAGCTGCCACGCGCATGTCAACGCCGAATCTTTCCATGGCTTTCGTCAGATGGGCCACAACATCTTGTCCAACCTAATGCCCAGGATTGGGAAAAAAATTATCAACAGAAACCCACAAAAACACAAAAGGAGAGCTAGGAAGTGAACTTTTAGCTAATGTCAGCGAACTGGACAAATGTTCTGTCATCCATTACTAGTAATTAAACACATGCAATAGTAGCAAGGAGATCAGGCACAAAGGAAGCAAGACCAAATGCATCTCAAACTATGGCAGCACCAACCAAAACTCAATGTTCTAAAAGGATTACAGCAGCAGAATCAAACAAACAAGTTTATGGTTTTTGTACCGTGTCATCAATGGAGAACCCTTTTGTCCATTTTATAAGATTGCCGGACGATATCGATGTCTGATTGACTGGAAACGAGAATGTAAAACCCAGTTCTCTCTGCCTACCAGGAGATAGCCGCATGTCTTCCCCTTCCGTATCAACAAATCTCTTCAGAGCTTGAGCAATGAAACCGAACAATTCCTGTATAAAAAAACTCCCCAAACTCCACAATCAGAATTTTGCAGAAAGAGAAACCACAAAGAAAACCCATCTCCCCAAAATGAAATATGCTCACATCTGAAGTTGCAGTCATGACGTGTGGAGGAATGGAGACTTCTAATGATTCTTGTTTGACCACTCGCTCTTCTTGCCCGCCCAACACCACTCTCATCACCCGGAAATTCGTTCCACCAAGATCCAACGCATAAAACAACCCTTTCTCATCTCTGAACATAACAGTAAAAAAAAAAAATGGAACCCAATCGTACACAGAAGAACAAAACCAGAGAAGAGAGCCAAAAAAAAAACATGGGAAATCGGTCTATACCCAGTTGGGAGATTGTCGACGTAGCTAACGAGCATCTTGAGCTTGCTGCCGCCCTCCAACGACAGCCCGACGTGCATCTCGTCAGCCATAGCATCGGCGAGCTTCTGCAGCTTCACCATCGGCGTCGCACACTTGCGCTGGAACGCATCCGCAATCGCCCTCGCCTTCTCCCGCCGCCGGCTCTGCCTCCTCCGGCGGACCAACACATCCGCAGCCGCAGCAGCGGCGCAAACCGCCGCCGCCCCGGCCACCGCTGCAACAACCACCGCCTCCTTCTTCATTTTTCACCGCCCACCCACCCACCTACCAAATCTCTCTCTCAGCTCTGCTTCCCTTCCCGGCTTCCCCTCGTGAATTTCAGTGACGTCAAATATTGTGGCTCCGGCTTTGTGGATTTAGAAAATGTCGTGATTTTTGTAGAGATATATATATCTCTGAGAATCTGGGGGAAGGCTAAGGCTAGGCAGTAGGCGCAGGCAGAATCATCATCAGCGGAAATTTAAGAGAAAAGATATAAATTCTTGCAGAGTCGATATCGGTCAGACTCAGACGGTGACTGGGCCGAGAAAGAGACAGAATAGAGAATATATATCATATAAAACAACAACGATAAATCAGTCATTTTCATGGTTGTTATACTTCTATCGGTGAGCCGGTTGAACCAGATTTGATTAGAATTGGGTTCTGGATCATGGGTTAGATAGGTTTTTTTTTATGAGATGTGAGTTTCTAATAGATACTAAATTTCATTCCACTAATTTAAATTTTATATTACTATCTTATTTCTATATATATTTAGAAAATGTATAAAACAACTCCAATAGGTTGGATCTCGATCAATTATTTAGGCTCAAACCATTTGTTTGACCGATTCAACGATTTAAACCAGTTTGACAACCTTTGGCCATTTCCCTTTCCTCTTCATTTTTACTGCTAGAGATAATTATTAATCACAAATTACAATTAGTATTAGGGATATCATTATGGAATGGATTGAATGATAAGTCAATTTAAGATAAAAATAAGTGCAATTTTTTTTTTATTAATTGGAGGCTAGAGAAGCCAAACGATAACACGCGCAGAAACTACGCAAACAAGGGAAACATAGGATGCTAGCAGCAGAGCCTTAAAGTCAAATAATCACAAATCTCTGCCCCGAACGGATTGAAAACCAAAACTATCCGGTTTGCTGACCTTGCCGAGGGAAGCTAACCCCAAGCACGTCCTCCCTTAGGATTCGGTCAAGATTCGGTGGGGTCATCTAGTTCATGCGTATCGAAAGTATAGACGAGAATGTGCTTCGAGTATGAAAAATAAGTGCAATTAAGTTTGAAAAAGTATTACATGTTCTAAATTGTTATTGTTAAACCATGTCATACCAGCGTGCTAATTGGAAAAAAAAACTATTGGATCTCAAATCAATAGAGGATTTTAGGGCTGGGAAATGGTGTGGT